TTGCACGACGTCGCGTATTTCCCGGGACGTCCCGTATTTTAGGCTTTGTTTAAAATGTCCCGACGGGACTAACTCTGTCCCGTATTTGAACCGCGCTCCGTTTTTTATTTTATTATTGAATCGATCGATCTGCGCTAGACAAAAATACTCACTCACGCAACGTTCGTACTCCTAATTTAATAAAAAGCGAGTTGATGACCTATTTTAATTACGAATGTAATTGTATTGATTTTTATAAATATTTTAAAACTATTAAAAATATATTAAAGTTCACTTACTCTTCAGAAAAATATATGAAAAATAAAGAATGTTACTATATAATTTTGTTTTTTATTTGTTCCCAGTAAAAAACTAAATTGCCGTATTTTTTGCCTATTTCAGGTTTTGCCCCTTAGGGGCCTGTCTGAAACATGTAATGGTTACAATCGGTATGCACTGTTTTACACGCTTTTATTTCTCTTACAACATTTCGATAATATTTTTTTATAGCATAGGAGACAATCTTGCGGCTCAGCAAATAGTAAGGGGGCCTCCATAAATTACGTAAGGTGTTTATTTGAATTTTCTGTCCCTCCCTCCCTACCAGGTGAGATTTTATTCAACCCCCTCCCCCATCCCCAATCTCACGTGAGATTTTTCAAAATATGGGTTTCTTATGTAAACGCGTTGGATTGTTATTGTAAAAAGAAAAATAAAATTGCTTCGTGCTTTTATTTACGATTAGTTAAGACTAGTAATCAATATTGCTGAAGGTTATAAGTGTAATAAGCATCTACAATCTGTATTAAATGGACCAAAATAGTATATTTTTTTTTGTTTCAATCAGTAAAAAAATTGCCGACACCCCCCTCTCTCCAACTCAAGATTAGATGAGATTTGACTCGATCCCCTCCCCCTTAAACATCTCACGTAATTTATGGATACCCCTTATAGGCTGAATAGAAATCTGGCAACTCTATTCGCCAACAATATATTTTAATTTAAAAATAATCTCCATATATTAACAGTCAATTTACAGACTGTAATTTGTAGAGACCAGACATTGCGAAGGGTCAACTAATTATGTACTACATAACAATGAAATTATAATGAATGTAACAATTTCCTTGTAAGCGAAGTACCTTTGTGTTCTAACCTGAATCTAGCAAAATAAGATATTTTATTTGTACAATCTGATATTATTGTATGTTTAATGAACTTAATAATACACGGAAATGAAATATTTATAGGACTAAATTAGTTTCAGAAATAGAACAGTTTATATCTGCTTTATTCTCTATTCTCAAAGCTTGAATATAGAATGTCAAAGTTAAATCAAATGTATTTTGCAATAAAAAGTGGCACAGTAGTCTACATAAGTTGTAAATGTTGAATATAATGTCCCACTATGTTTTGCCTCATTAGGTATACAAAATTTAAAAATTTCAAGGAAACCTTTCGTATTATATTGTAATAGACAATATATAAAATAAATAATCATGGACAATGAACGCAGCGCCATCTAGTTCCACGGTAAACAGAGCTTGTGTTATGAGTGACATAAATACATAAGTAATTATTTTGTAAATACATACATACTCAATACAAACATACTCATGAATACAAATGTTCGTACGGTGCGAGGATCGAACACGCGACCATCGGAAGTTAGGCGGTGAGCTTGACCGCTGTACCACCTAGACATTTATAACAATTTATCTCTGCTTCATTTAATATTTCTGTTTTATTCTCTGTTTTTAAAGGTCCAATGTAAAGGCCACCTTTTGTATAATATTTTAATGGACTTTAAATAAAAATAAAATCTACTAATAAAAAGGTATATTTATAGTGCAATTTTGTCCGTCCATATATCTGTCATATTCCTAGTGTTGCAGTCACTACTAATAACTATTAATTGTAAATTAAAAATAATTTTATATACTCTAAACATAATCTTAAATACATATTTATAACTTTGCACGGAGATCTTATTTTGAATTAATTTGACAAATTTATTTAGTGTATTTGACAAAAATTTCTTTTTGTAACCGGAATGGTAAACAAGTTGATGTTCCACCTAAGTAAATTACAACCGTATATCTATACAAGATGTTCATTCATATAGGAATCTTCATATGATGCCTGTACTCTTTATACCTTGCTATTACAGTGGACTAAGAGGTTATACTTGCTTATCCTATTATTTCACTACTATGTCAACCCTCCATCGAAACAGTAAAGTCAGCTACTACGGCTGAAATAGGTCAGACATAGGTTGGAATAGGACGTCTTTATCCAAAGTCAACCTTAGTTTTTACTATATCGACTGTTTTATTATTTATGATTAGTGCGCAAAGTTTAATTTGACGCGAACAATATTTAAACGTTTAGGACAATCATGACATTTTGCGATGTTTTATTTATTATTATTGAGATATCGGGAAACCAATAATAAATAGTTAGATAGATAAATTTTCATCAATTATAATCCATGGGGACAACACCAATCGCTCCCTTCGCACAACTAGAAGATTTCTACTTCATGTCCCGGCATATTTGTCCGGTTTTGTCCATTATTCTTTCGCCGTTCAGGCTATCAAACTTTGGAACGACTTACCCCTTGACATCAGGACTGCTGCGAGTAAAATTTCTTTCAAGCGAAGATTGCGGAAACATTATCTTAACATATAATTTTACTATTATTTATTATCTTTTATATATTTTTCTCTTTAGCATTAAGTTTCTTCATTTTTACTACAAGGCGAATCTTATTGTATCTATTGTAATATGCTTACACTGTCGGCTGTAATCACTATTTCATTGTCAGATTATTGGTCATATATTTATGTGTGTATGGTATATTTTTGTATATGTATATGTATTTTTGTGTATATTTGTAGGAATATTTATGTAGTTACATGTGTATATATATATATTTATTTATTCATGTATATTCTATAAAATAATATATTATTGTTTGCACCGCCAACAACTTATCTCTGCACAACTCATGGTTGCCTGGTAGAAAATGCCATTAGGTGTTAAGTCCGCCATATGTACTTTTTACCTGTGTATGACGTGCATTAAAGTTATTTAAATAAATAAATAAAAAATAAATATAATATAATTAAGGTACATAAACAAATAAAAGAATTGAAGGCAGCTAGGTACAACGACGATACACGTAGAATTGCGGACAGTACCTAGTTGCGTGCCTTGGGAGAGGCCATACCCATAAGTGGACTGCAGTGGGCTAATGATGAAAATGTAACTTTATATGCTGCAAAGGTGAATAGGCAACCAACTCAGCATGAAACTACTGAATATATATATGTATTTTTTTTTATTTGGTTGCCAATAGCCCAAAGGCTATTGTCAGATGTGTGTAGCACCTGTAGCAATGCGACCTACATAGATCTATTGTGCTCGCCCTGTTTCAAAGTTCGCTGCCTAGACCCGTCAAGGACAAGAATTGTAGGATATTCTTAGGAGCGATGGTTTATATCTCCAAGAGAAAGAGTGTAAACTTTAAGGATATATGTATATGATGTAATGTTTGAGCTCGTTGATAAATATACTCGCTTAATTTTTCATAAATATCTGAAAGGCATACGTTAAAACGTGGTGAGATCCCGTGACTTTTTTAATATAAAGTTATTAATGTTATTTGGACTATCGCCAATTAGTTCAGTAATAATACTAAATAAGTTTCCTTCAATATAAATTTTTAGTGTCGATAAAACTCCCTAACCGTCTGCCGGTACCGGAGCGAATAGTTGGGAAGTTATCAAAATAAATTAATGTATGTCCGCAGTATGGTACCGGCAGTGAAAACTAATTCGGAACTCGTACCACTGAACACGTGCGATATCCCGTAATTAACCTGTGTCCGAACATTTGGTCTGTATTGTAATTGAATTCTATATCTCATTTCGTTTTAATTTATTGAAGATTTCAATTATACGGTTTCGATAGTTTACTAAAAATGGTGTCGCCCGAATTTGGAATCACGACCACTTGGGCTTAATTCAGAGTAAATGAATGACCTCTTTCCTAAAAATAAAAAACAAATCAAGTGTATATTCAGAGTAGTAAAGAGTAGCAAAGAGTAGTAGTAAGCAGGTTACGACGCTCTGTCACAAAAATAAACAAATCTTTATTCATGTAGGTCTATTACAGATACTTGTCAAATCAGTCAGTTTAAAGTGCTTTCGAGCTAAGAAGAACTGATAAGAAACTCAGCTCTTATTCTTCTCAAATGAGCTTGTACAGATGACAAAAATACAGAATCCTTTTTAAATGCGTGTACAGTACAACAATTGTTTCAGGATGTTGATAGGGCTGCCGCGTTTCTGTAGTGCATCTGGCATGTTCGCTCTTGCACAAACAGATAACTTTTATGCTATGATTAGAATAAAACTGCATCTCTATTCATCAGAATGCGTTGTAGCTCCAAAAACATTGAGAAACACATTGATGAAACAAGTTGATTTGCCTATGATACAACATTGTGTGAGTGTACTTGTTAGACAGAGGTCTAACAATTTGTAACGACTGTAACTGTAATACTAGAGTTAAGTACTTTACTAACAATGTATTAAAAAAAAAAATACTAACAAATGGGCTATTGATGCCAAAAGAAATATCTTATTATTATTAAATTCAATTAGGCAGAATATAGTGACCACTAGCATATGACGTATACGACATGTGAACTATTCTAATGCTGTTCGCTGCAGCTAGCCTTTATAGATTTACAAAACGATGGGGCAAGTGCAGATGACACTCCAAATCCCTGGAAGGACTTATGGAGCGGCTAAGGGCAACTCCTGTATGTCAGATTCGAGTTTAGTCTTCCATCGTAATTTCGATCCCCGTTTGAATAAAGGACGACCGGGGGCGCCGGTGCAGCGCTATGTGATATAATTAAGGTCGTCGTTTTCGCCGTGGAGGACGGTGTCGTGTTTGTGATAGCATGTTAGTGAAACCCTGTATATATGTATAAATTTTATTTGATACAGTTTGCTGAGAGCAACGCCACAGTAAGTCTGCTGACGCTGTTACCAGAAGCGGAAGATCACGAGAAGACACTTGTATGTCGAGCTGAGAATCCTCGAGTGCCAGATGCTGTCCTGCAGGACGAGTGGACGCTTAATGTACACTGTAAGTTGTTTAACATAGTTAAAGTAAATAGCACTTTTATTGCTTTAAGCGGTTTATCTAAGTTCTTCGGAATAGGTATAGGTATAGGCAAAGAGAATTCTAGCAATGTTCCATGTCAGGTTGACCTACACGCGGTTCCCCTGAAAACTATCGTGATAATATCTTGGTGAATTTGACACAATGGGGTAACTGCCTGACCTTATGTTCATTTTATCATCCTCCACTGGTGTCCCGCCAGCGTGAATCGTTAGCACGGACAGGCGTAACATTTCATTATCATACATAAAAAATTGCAATGGCTCATATGATAAAATGATGTTCATCTTCTTTATGTGCCGTCCTACTGGAGGTTAACGATCATCTTGACGATCTTCTCCACCGCTGTTTTTTTTTTTTGTGGATGATAATGGAATGTTGCACCCGCCTGCGCTAACGGTTTACGCTGGCGGGGCACCAGTGGAGGATGATAAGATGAACATGAGGTCAGGTCAGTTAGCCCATCGTGACAAATTCACCAGGAATTTAACACGATGGTTTCCAGGGGGAACCGCGTGGAGGTCAACCTGACAAGGTACATTGCTAGCAATGGGGTTATCAATCCACATTACTAACAATTCCCTTCCCCCCTCTCCACCGCTGTTCTGAACAGGGATCTGGTGCTAAACCCGAACCACTTAAGTTCTTTAACCATGACATACGGCGCCTGCTCGGGATTCATCGGCCCTAGATTTTCTTGAATTATTATTTGCAAATGACCATATTTTTATTCGCATTATATGCTACTTCCTACGTTTTACAGTGTCCAACACATCAAGTCTTTCATCTATAATAGATAGTACACTCTCATGATGTTAGAGACATCAAAATAAAACCAAAACGAATTTATTACATTCAGCGTCCTACAGATTAGTATTAAATATAAATTTAGTGTGTAAGCTATTTTAAATCATGCAACAAATTAATAAATTAACTTTTTTATTGGAATTATCTACAATATTTTAAACTGCTGTAATATAAAAGAATTTTTCTAAAATAAAATTAACCTAAGTTACTCCTTCCTATATCAGCTCCCGTCCCGTCAAAATCGGTCCAGCCATTTCAGAGATTAGACAACCAAACAGACAGACAGACAAAAATTGTAAAAAATGTTATTTTTGTGTATGTACCGTATCTATATTCGTAAGCATGTAGTAAAAAAACGGTTATTTCAATATTACAAACAGACACTCCAATTTTATTTATATGTATACATAGATTATATTTAGTAATTATATTGACTCCTCCATGACGTCCTCGGTGGTCTAGCGGTTTAACTATATTGCCGATGGTCACACGTTCGATTCATCGCACGGTTCAAACATTTGAATCATAAGTATGATTGTTTGTATAGGTCTGGTTGTTTTCTATGTATATCATGTATTTATTTAAAAAAATTGTATCTGTATATTTATATCAGTTGTCTAGTATCTGTAACACAAGCTCTGCTTAGCTTGAGATTAGATGGTGCTGTGTGAACTGTCCATAGTTATTATTATTAATATTATTGACAAGTCGCCTCCTAATCAGTTGAACCACAGATAATATAATATATACATATTTGAACTAAATATGCATAATCTATACATATAATAAAAATGTAACTAACGCTGTCTATACATAAGGGAAAATGTATTATTGGGGAAATTGACGGCCTCGGTGGTCTAGCGGTCTAGCACACCGCTTTACGTCCGATGGTCGCGGGTTCGATTCCTCGCACGGCACAAACATTTGTATTGATGAGTATGATTGTTTGTATCGGTCTGGGTATTTTTTCTATTTGTGTTGTATTTACGAAAAAAAAATCTATGTATTTGTATCAGTTGTCTAGTACCTATAACACAAGCTTTAGTTAGCTTAACTTGGGTCTAGATGGCGCTGTGTGAATTGTCCTGAGATTATTATTATTATTATTAAATCTAAAATAATAATTGTTCGAATTTTCGTCTGTTTCTATGTTCTTTTGTGTGCGTTATCTCAGAAACAGTTTAACAAATTTGATTATGTGTTATTCCAATCTATATTTAAGCATAACAGTTACCACGTACCATCAGGTGGCAATTCTTAATAAAAATTCTTTAAGATTTCGGTATAAACGTTTTTATGAGCTCTTCAACTTTCCAGATGTACCCATAGTGACTTTGAAGTTGGGAGCGAGCCTCAACCCTGGCTATATTAAGGAAGGCGATGATGTTTACTTCGAATGCAACGCTAAAGCCAATCCAAAGATTCACAAACTGATGTGGTATAAAGGGGTAAGAATGAAGAAATATTAGCTGCTTCTACCACGTACGTTCATTTTCACGCAGAACCTATATATAATGAACTGTTCACTTGCAGACCAATGAAATTCATCACAACGCTACTGCAGGAATCATCCTCAGTGACCAAAGTTTGGTTCTCCAAAGTGTTACGAAGTCGGCGGCAGGTGATTACAGCTGTTTAGCATACAACAAAGAGGGAAGCACTACTAGTAACTCCGTGACTCTACAAGTCAGATGTAAGTCATGCCATATGAATAAACCTAGATTTTAATAATAATAATAATAATGATTTTTATTTCAGACAACATGATCCATTGTGTTAGTAACAGCTTAATGACATAACTTATCCTATGTTAGTAATAAAATATATAATAAAATAAAAATGTAACTTTTAACATATTATTTAGGATAGTTGAATCAAATATCCTCACCGTTGCTTCTCAATATATTTATGAAAATATCATGTATGCCAGGAAAAATATAGACAGTTTCAAAAGAGTTAGTGATTGCACTAATAAAAGCTTACGTAACAATAACAAACTGATTTTACCTAAATGTCGTTTGGCTAAAGTTAGTAATGCGTTTTATGGCAATTGCGTAAGGTTTTGCAATAAAATACCAGAGTCTGTTATAAATCTGACAGAAAAAAGATTTAAATGTCAAATAAAACACTTCCTTTGCAAAAAAGCTTACTATAAAATTGATGAATTCGTTAACGATAATAATGTTTTTGTAGAAAAATTTTAAAAAACATAGCACTTCCAATATTATCTGATTACACTAATAATGAGTGCGTAGCGATTTCTATGTTGATTGTCGCATGCCTCTTACTTGTTACACTGTAATTATTTATAAAAAAAAACATCTATTAAAAAGAGCAACACACAAGTTTCTTGCTCATTCTTCTTGTGATGAATTTGCATTCCGAATGAGTGGTAGAATCAAAATATGACTATTCAAAAGTGCTTGTAATGAGTTTATTTGAATAAAGATTATTTCTATTTCTATTACCTGTCCCACCCAGTGTCTTAGAATGGGACAGTCTACTTCACAAGCAATTGTCTTCAGGACAGTGTTGGAACTCGCCCGCACTCTGCCTAATAGGGACGTTATTCGCTTCCGCCGTATATCATAGACATCGTCTGTGCGCTCTTGCGCAAACATATGTGACGCTGCAGTGGCGGGGCAGCCCCAACAGTGCCCGAAAGGCATTGTTATATTGAACACGAAGAGCATTGTAGGTTTTTTGAGTATAGTTGACCCACAAGCCGCCAGTGTAGAAAACCTGACAAAATGCCTTAAAAAGTGTTATTTTGACTTGTTTTGTACACCGGGCAAACCTGCGTGCCAACATATTACTTCTAACTGCCAATGCTCTTCTTTCACTGATGTCCATATCATCTTTTAATGTGGATGTAACAATATGTCCAATATATATTTTTTAATTCCTATATATTTCTCCTTGAGCTTTATTATTTCAATTTTTTATTCTAATGCTGTTGGTCGCAGATGGTATTTACAGCTTAACCGAACGATAAGGTACAAGTGCAGATGGCACTCTAAACCCGCGGGAGACAGACATACGAGTTTGTAATAGACCTACATGAATAAGTTTGATTTGATTTCTTTTGATTTTGAAGCCTGCCTGACCAATATATATTTAGTCTGAGTACCGCTCGGGGTACCTACGAACCTCGACTCAGGTCGTCGTAATTTCTATACCCTTCGATTAGACGGGGGGTCGATCGAATAGGCTCGTTTGAATGGAATGCATGAATTATTTATAGAACTTACGATTAAAAATTTTAATAGCGCGTTTTAGAATATCATCAGATTTTGTACAAATAGTAATATGTATATAATACTAATAATCTCAGGATAATTGACACAGCGCCATCTAGACCCAAGTTATGCTACTAAAGCTTGTGTTATGGCTACTAGACAACTGATACAAATACATACATTTTTTTCGTAAATACATACATATTATACATAGAAAACATCCAGACTAAACACCAAGACAAACAATCATCATAAATACAAAATGTTTGTGCCGTGCAAGGAATCGAACCCGCGACCAAGTAAGTGTTAAACCGCTATACCACCGAAGCCGTCAAATATATTGCACAAAATTTAAAAATTATTCAAGAGTCGTTACCGTTAATACATTTATTTTATTAGGTTCGTTTAATCAAGCACAGTATATAGGTACATACTGTGCATTACAATTTTGTAATCAAATCAATATCTCGTTTTAGGATCGTCATTGGATCCTTATTTGAACTTATTTTTTACTAAAATTGTCTCTAATGTTTATATTATTTAGTATATGATAAACAAAAAGCATGTATTGGGAAGAAACTGACTTCTATCATAAAGCTAACCTAATTCACAAGATAGGATTATACAAAAATTACATAAAAGATTGTAATTGTATAAAATTACATTTGTTTTTTGGAACAATGACTGATTACGTTCTGACGGTCGATTCTGATGGGTATTTTAAAAGCATAGTTCATTTAATTTATTTATTTAATTCTAACTTACAATTTAGGAATTGCGATTCATTCGTCTTATACTAAATTAACCTATTCGTGTTCGCGACTAAAATTAAAGTGACCGTCCACCTGCCTTCCTCTGTTCTCGTACTTCTTGGATGCCGCTCATTTGAGTCAGCAACTGTTGGAAATTATTGGGACATACTTTCTAAGAACAATCGCTGTATCTATGCCGATTGTGTAACTACAGGTAGGTAGTTATATGGACTTAGGGGGTTTGTCGTCGTAACTGACTCAAAAATATGTTATTACCGAAGATGGATCAATAGTCTATGATTATGTAAAATTATGTATAACAAATATTGTTTAATTAGTAATCATATATAGAGAATTATATAAATATAGTCATTGATGTATAATTAGTAATTATACATCAATGACTATATTTATATAATTCTCTATACATACCTATTTTTGACATAACATAAATATTTATAATCTAAATATATATAACTCAATGGTGACTGACGTAGTGATCTATCGACGCACAGCCCAAACCACTGGACGGATCGGGCTGAAATTTGGCATGCAGGTAGATGTTATGACGTAGGCATCCGCTAAAAAAGGATTTTGATTAATTCTACCCCCAAACTGATAAAATAGGGGATGAAAGTTTGTATGAAACTTTGTCAATTTTAAACCCATCGGGCTGAGACTTTGCATGTATAAAGTTACTATGACATAGGTATCCCCTAAGATAGGATTTTGATAAATTCCACCCCTAAGGGGATAAATTAACGCGAGCGAAGTTGCGGGCAAAAGCTAGTAGTCAATATGTATATATAACATATTGACTATTATAAACACTTTCTGTAACATCTAAACACAAATTTTGATTACAAATTTGATATTTTACAAATAAACCATATTGTTATTGAATTATCGAATAATAATAGTAAGTGTTGTTACCAGTTCAATTACTTGTTGGTACATTTTATATATAGTGTTGTGACAGCTGTCACCAGAGTAATATCTATTAAATACGTCTGCGATAGAATAATTAGTAAAAATTAGTTAAAGTGCATATAAAACATTACAAACATATACCAAATATAGCTACAGAAGTAAGTTACCCTGGCATATATGAGAAACGAATCACAAAGTGCTACGAATGCGAGAAATTCACTATATTTCCAAGAGCGGTAAGCCACAATTTACCGTTACTAATTTAAAAATACCGTTTCAATATTATTTACTCCAATTAACTGATTCATGGATGTAAACAAACAAATTTTTACTAATTGAATGGATGGAACTGACTCAATAACTGACAAATGACATATACACGACTACTACTTGTCACAGTGTAATAGTTGACACTTTAAAGAACGACGCAGACGCATTTTTCAACATTATAACAAGACATAGACAACTAGATAGTTTTGGATGCAAGACCATTTGGCCCATTAATTAACATCATAGGTAGGTGGCGCTACTATCGCTTGATTTTTAAATATATTATAAATATTTTAAATATATTATAATATCAGTTAATGGTTTATACATATAACTTATTGATTAATTAATTAATGTCAAGAAAGACTAATTTAAAGATGACTTCGCCAAGCAATATAACATTTAGGAAAATTAGACGATCAAGCTCATTCCATAGTCTATCTAATTCGTCACTTTATGATACCACGAATATGAGTTTACCAAATACTTCGATGGATGAGAGTATAAATATTCAAAATAAAGATAATTACATAGAAAAATTAACTACAGATCTACATTCGGCATATTCTGAAATTGATGATCTTAACGTGGAGAATACTAAATTAAAGCTAGAGTTAGAAAAATGTTTAAAAATTATAGACATATACAAAAACGATAAATGTGAGAGCACACCTATAATAAAAAAGAAGAAATCCGTAACAAAAAAAACGATCTCGAGAGAACCATCGTTCTCTCCAGACAATGTATGTATACAAGCAGAGTGCAACCAAAACCTAATTACTGATAAGGGGACCAAAGAGCAAAACTTGAAGGATACATTGATAAACACTAACAGACTGGATAACAACATAGAAGTATTTTCTAATAATAAATCTACATACTACGACAATGAGCAACATATAAAAACAACAAAAAAGAATGTTGTAATTCTAGGAGACCAACAATGCCGCGGAGTAAGACAAATATTACAAAACCTTTTGGGCAACGACTATATAGTAACAGCGTTTTGGAAATCTGGGGCAAGATTATCTGAAATATTGAAATTTGATAACAAATATATATTAGAATTGACAAAAAATGACTATGTTCTTATTATAGGAGGTACAAATGAGGTTAATCCGTATGAATTTAAGATGTACGTGACTAGTTGGCTGAAGAGTATTGTTAATACCAATGTAATATTTTCTGAAATACCATTTAATATGAAACTTAACGAAAGTCGGTTAAATTATGAGTTGCGGCACATTTCTAATTTTCACAAAAATGTTTCATTTATTGACATGGATTATTCTAGGATTAAGTTAACTAAAATGAAATTTACAATTAATCTATGTAGACATCTTTTAAGAGAAATATTACATATTACCTACAAATATAATTATGAAACATACATTTTAAATTTAAGTAATTATGACAACGTAGTAAGGCAAACAAATTTCTGTCATAAATATACACAGACTGATGATATTTCTCATACTTCGAACATAGCTTTAAGTAATTGT